AAATAATAATAAAATGTAAAAACAGCCTGGCTTTCTTTAGTCCCTGTAGCCCCTCCAAACATATACACACACAGTCCCCAGCTAGGTGCTGTAGATATTCTGGTCTAATTTTTCCCGTGCTATTTTTTCATACCAGGGGATGTGGCTCTAAATCAGCCAGACATGTGTGTCTACCGTCGTGGGAGGAAGAAGAGGGTGCCCTACACCAAACTGCAGCTCAAAGAACTGGAGAACGAGTATGCCATTAACAAGTTCATTAACAAGGACAAGAGGCGGCGGATCTCGGCTGCCACGAACCTATCCGAAAGACAAGTGACCATTTGGTTTCAGAACCGGAGAGTGAAAGACAAGAAAATCGTCTCCAAGCTCAAAGATACTGTTTCCTGATGTGGGCCAGATTGGCCACAGAGCGTTTAAATGCTTTCCGTTGTCTCCAAAAGACCTTTGGAAAGACTTGAATATGTATTTAATTCCCTCCACCCCCCTGCCAGTAATGGCACATTTTGTGAATTGTTTTTCTCTCTTCCCCTTATCTTGCTCTAAAACTTTTTGCTATCCAACCTGACTTTGTAGTTCTGTTTCTGTTTAATTGTTTATTATTGATTTTGTTCTTTTCTAGGTTTGTTTTTTATGACTTTTTAATGTTCTGTTTCTCCCTCCAGGCCAGTATAAAGGACTTGAAGTATTTTTTAATACCCTCCCCCGCCCCAATGAATTTCAGAAGTGCCATTCTGATTTTTGGGATTTATTTTTTTAAAATCACTTTAAATGCCTGTTTCCAGCACTGATTTTCTTCATAATCCATTAGGGCAAAAAGTCTGTAGTCATTCATATCCTGTGACTGGGTAATTGAATAATTACCTCTCAGCAATTGCCCTGAAGCAAGTGAAAACAGCTCTGGGCAGGCAGTGCTCTAGGGTCACTGGGAATGTCTAAAGAGAGGAGGCTGGAGGTACTGTGATGGCTTTAAAAGCCACCTCATTAAGTAGAGTTTGTATTGATATTGGGATGAAGACAATCTATTCGACTTTGGGTCTTTCACTTGCTGTTGTAGTTGTATGTGTTTAATACACCTTGTAGACATGTGCTTTGATAATCTTTAATTTGAAAATAATGTGTCCTCGTGGATGCCTTTATTACTCCAGCTCTAGATGCAAATATTTCAATGGCTGCAATTGTCAGAGGTATCTAAATGTGGATGACCTAAATGCAACCCTCTCCTTGGCTTCCAGTCTATGGGACTAGAATTGAGGCCATCTCCTCCATCCCCAGAAAAAAAGGCTAAATTAATATGACCATGAGTGGGAATTTTTACCCGGAACCCACTGAAGAATTTGACTATCTGAACAAATGTATTGGGCCTCTCTCAGAGCTATAAAACATCTAACAAATGCAAAAATTGTGGGGCTCTAAGGTTCAAGAAGAAGAAGAAAAAAAGATGTTTCTGAAAGTGATAACTACTTTTAAAGTGCTGCATATTTATGTGACTGAGAGATTATTTTTGTAGATGAAATGTCTGTGAGCTGGGATACATGAGCAGTGCTTCAGGCATTTAAATATCACTTTTTACTCCTAGGGAGATGCAAATAAACAGAACTCTCTTATTTCCTCTGAGTCTTTATACATTTGTTTTCTTTCCCAAGCTTATGTTGCCTCTAGAAACTATTCTTATTTATTATAAAATTTTGTTATCCGAAACACTATGATGTTTCCTATGGGTGATAAACACTCAACACCATCTCTGGAAACCCCCTCCTCCCCACTTCTGCCACCCCTCCCCACTTCCCGTGGCTTTAACATAAACAGTGATGACTTTAAATGAGGATATAACTTGTGGTGTCTAAAATGATATTTTTTTACCAGACCACCTCAAAAACATCTCCAATAAAATTTTACTTCTCTTTGAACATTATCAGTTTATGCACACAGTTTTATTTTTAAAATCAATACGTATGTGCCTGGGTACAGAAAAACATGCTCACTTGGAGGTTTTCTTCGTAGAAAGGCTGTTATAAATATCTATCTACTCTAGGAAGGTCTTGAAATTAGACATACCCATATTTGGCCATTGAAAAGGAAACATTTCAGCTTTTGCCTTATCGCCTTCTCTCGGCTGCCTGCACACAGCAGTTGAGGACTGAAGCCATAATTATACACCCTAAACCTCTGTACACAAACTTTAGGCATTAAGAACTTTCTCTTTGCCTCTCAGGGAAGTGGCCCTTTAGGGATGGGGTGCCTCTTCGTTGTTAACACCCAGGCACAATCAGTTTAGTGGTTGCTAACTTTTGGAATGTAAGCTCGATACAGATGTTTAAAACCTCACACAGTATGTAAACTCTTCTGGTGGGAGGGCTCCTTTAGGGATCTGCCAGAGAAAGCGCAGAGAGCTGAGGTTCCAAGCTACTTTCGTTTTCTCTGGCAGGGCTTGATTTCTCTCATATCTTGCAACTGATTGTGGGGTGGTCAACTTGATTTAAATAATGAGTCTCTCTCTCTCTCTCTCTCTCTCTCACACACACACACACACACACACACACACACTGAGGGAGGAGGAGGTGGAAGAAGAGGAGAAGGAAAAGGGACCACGATTCAATCTCTGGAGAAGAAAGAACCCCTGAAAATGGGGCCACAACATGCCCGACCTTCCACTTTGGGGAGAATTACTAACATTTTCTGTTTTTCTCATAAGAGGTGTTTTCATCCGAAACGGGCCTGTTTTCCCTTCTCCATCGTCGTTTTCCTCACCTTCTTTTTTGGTAACTTCCAGATTCAGGGGCCCGTACTCCATTTCCTGGGTCCATTTCTCAGGTTTCCTGTAAGAATGAGTGCATGCGGGGGGGATTGCCTCGAGGTTTTCCTTTCATCTGTAGTTTCCCTCCGCCTAAGAGAATGGGAGGTTTGCTGAAGATTAAAACTGCGCTTAAACGCTCTCCTGGCGGAATTTGAATTGACGGCTAAATCAATAACAGATGAAGACTTGGTTATTTATATGAATTCCTTTTATATTCCGAAGGGAGGAGGGAGGAGAGGAGCTGGTCGGTGGGCTAAGTGCAGGAAAGGAGGCCCGCGGGACGCCGCGAAGCGCTGGGAGCTTCGGGGAGAGGCCTTGCCTTCGGGTGCAGACGGAGAGGCCCCACGGAGAGCGCCCCCGAAACCCGGCAGGTCCCGAGCGCCACGGGTGGAGGATCGAGGCCGCGCGACTGCGCGTGGTTCGAGGGGCGAAGGAGGCTGTGGAGCCGGGACACCCCGCCCGACAAAGGGGCGGCGGCGACGCTTGCCCGTGCCGGCAGCCCGCGGAGTCCCTCTGGCTTCGCGGTCCCGGCCAGCCCGGCCGCCACGGCGGTGCGCGGTGACTGCACGGGCTGGAGACGCCGGGCCGGCTGCGCCGCCCTTCGCTGTTGATCTTGACCGTGCGGCGGCGCCTCGCCAGGCGTGGAGCTCGCTCGCCATCTCCTGGGCAGTTGGCGGCATTGGCGGAGCTCGCCGACTAACTCCACGGCCCCATTTCCTTTCCCATTCTCCAGTTCACCCGCGGAGCTCCTGCCTCCTCCCCCGCGCCGCCCGCCTGCCCTGCACCCAGCTCCCGGCTCCACGCATACAGCTTTGCCTGCGGGCCCTCGGAAATCATAAACTCAGGAGATGAGGTGGGGCGGTGGAGCCGAGGAGAAGGAAGAATCTAGTTCTAGTCTTTTCTGTGTCTCACTTAGTTCTTTTCTATCTTTAGTCGGGGGGGGGGGGGGGGGGGGGGGGGGGGGGG